TACGTTCTGCTAAGAAGGAACATATCAATATTTCAGCCTTTTTTGCGTTTATTACATTTGTAATGAAGCCTTAAAAAAGTCGCCTACTTTTTCTGACTTTCTATGCTGATACAGTTTTTTTGGTACTTTTGCGAGCATGCGTGTTGCAATAGATCAGATCTTCCTGATTTGGCTTTTAATTTGACTTTGCAAACATTGCAATAAGGCTTTTAACCTCAAGTGCTTTGCATCATATTTAAGTCATCTGTGCCCAAAGAAAAAATATCTTTTGAAGAAGCTGCTGCAAAAAACAAAGCTTGTAACGTCCAAATGACGTTAAAAAGGTCAGCCTGGCAACGCTGGCCCCGACACAGCAGTTTCTTTTGCGGTTTGAGAGCCAGTGTAAGTATACGCAATTAATTAAATAGATAATAGGGAGCACTGGTTTATTACCAGAGAACCATGCCAGAGAACGTAAACGTTCTTTGTAATTCAAGGAAACCGTTACACGCACAATTGTGTTCCATTCAATAAAAATATTTGGGTGTTTCATATGGAGATAGGTGTATTTTAGCACGAATAGATAAACTTGCTTAATTATTTTATGAATTATACAATCTGCGGCTATTCGAAAATAATAATATAATGCGTGTAAGTATCAGCATATATGTGTAATATTAAATCCAAGCAACCATTTTTTTATATTTCTTCGTACAGATCTTACGTTCGCAGTATTTGAAGTACAAGGCACAGCAGGGTCAGGAAGCCAGTACAAGTTCTAAAACAACAACAACGGTAAGTAGTGTTTATCCTACAACTATTGTCGCCAATAGCCACCTTAGTTTGTATTTACCTGTGCCCTCAGCTGGCTTCGTTACACGATGAAACTGAGGTGCAGCATACAACCTCCAATAAGGCAAATGGAGATTTGAAATCAATACAAACCGTTACGCAGACAACACGTACCACAATACGGCGGAGTTCGATAGCACCACTCAAGGATAATTCTTCGCGCGCACCCTATAGGCGCAATTCAAGTTATCCAATAAATGAAACTACGCAGATAGTAGCCGATAATTTGCAAACGTGTTTGCCATCTGGTCAAGACGAGATTAATAGCAAATGCCTTGATGCGCCTACAACGCCTGCAGCAATACAGCAGCGACGGCAGACAGTCGCTTGCACTAACGCCGATGAGCATTTAAAACATCAGATATTAAACGCATTAAAAATTAAATTGCTAAACACG